GACTTTTAAAATACAATATTTTTAGAAATATATAAATTCAATTTTTTGCATTCATGTGAAATTTCAAAACAGTACTGGAATATTGTTCTTTCTAATTGGCAGCACATAAAATGCCATGTGTGGCAGCCTTGAATAAAAGCTTGGAATTAGTGAATGACTAGAGATTATAAGAATATTTTAGCTCTTTCTGAAAAACAATACACACACATATGCCTATATATTATATATGCTATTTATGCATGTGTGTAGTCCATTTTCTGCTGCTATAACAAAATACCTGAAATTAGGTAATTCATAAAGAATAGAAGTTTATGTGGCTCACAGTTCTGGGATGTGCTTCCCCCGTAGGCAAATACAAGTAGGCATCAGCATCTTCTTCATATCTGGAAAGGGCCCTCTGGCTACATCATAACTTGGCAGAGGCATCCCATGGCCAGATAGAGCAAGCATGCAGGCTCTTGTTATTAAGCTGCTTATGCCATCATGAGGGCCCTATCTGCATGACTTTATCTCATTCTAATTAGCTGCCCAAATCCCCCACCTCCAAATATCATTAACATATGAATTTTAGAATCATGTTTCTATACATGAACTTTGGAAAACACTTTCAAACTGTAGGGGTGTGTGGTGTGTGTGTGTGTGTGTGTGTGTGTAGGGGTGTGTCCAAGTGCTGTTTGTTGCCCACATACAGGTTCTCTCACATAGACTTTGCATATCCTCTCTCTCTGTGACATGCACACAACCATTTTGGTTCACTCACCCAAATTTAGCACACTATTCCAAAATAAGTAGCGTAATGTCTAGCTGCACACCACACAGTAGGGTTTAAAACTGCTCAGACAGAATTTTTATATAATTGTAGCTTCTTCATAATTCAAAGTCAGCATTCTGCAAATAGCTAGTTCTTCTGGAAGATAATCAGATCCTATAACAGTTATTAAAGATGGCTTTCTTTCCATGGGAGAGATTAGTAACCTGTTCATAGACACATTTTAATAAATAGTATTATTTGGCATGGTAGAGTTATTTGATTCTAAAGCCTGCATTCTTTTCACAAACTCATTCCATGCTTTAATAATTCTCCCCTTTCCCTCCTTCACCTCACTGTGTTGAATACACAGTAGAGACTTAATCAGTACTTGAAATGATTAAATTGAAAATTCAAAAGTCCTTGAGTTACTGTCTAAGGTCACAGCAAACAGAGGTGGGTCTAGGATTAGAACCAATTCCTTTGCTTCCCTAGTCCATTGCTCTATTCACATTTTTTTTAACCTGGGGACTTTTCACATTAACCTCCTATTTGTCCTCCAGCATGGACTCTGAGAAACTCTATGTGGGGTTGGGAATATTTAGGGACCTCCTTACTAAGCAATTTAGTGAGTGAAACTTTCCATTGGTGGAATGCTGGAGAAGCATTTTGTGGACAAGAGGGGGGAAAAGATGCTATTTTAAACATTGCTGAGAGAGTTTGGGCAAAATCCATCTGGCAGACAGACTATTTCCTCCGTTCAAAAACTCATCAAGCACTCCAAACGTGTAACCTGTAGGCAAGTTTAATTAAAGCTTGAGAAATCTCAAAATAACCTGACATTTAAATATGTTATTTCCGTTCTCCTCTTTTAGTCTGACATACTCACAGAGGCATGCTCAGGTTCAAATTAAGCTCCCTAATGCCATCCAGCACTGCCTAACTACTGGAACACCCTGTGTTCAAGGCTACAGGAAAATGAATGAAATCAATTTATCTAATTGTTGTCCTTTGAATATTAATATCAGAGATATGTAGCAAAGGAGATAGGAATTCAAGTAAATAAATGTGAAAAAATGATTATGATGGTAGATGATAGATAATAGAATGATACATAGATACATAGATAGAAGGGGTAAATTTTGATTTATCTTGTCTTTTTCTGGTTAAGACAGAGCTTGCCTTGAAAAGAACCTTAGGAAAGGACTAAAGTAGTGGTTTTTGCCATGTAGCAAAAGAAATGAAAGGTAAAATCAGTGAGCAAAATCAGTAGGCATTAATATAGTCACCCTTTAGGATTCAAGAGTATACCTTCTGTCTTAAAGGAGTCATTCTATTCTTAAGGGGTCTGGAGATTCCTGGACTACCCCATCCTCAGTGTCAGGTACAGATAAGTGGCCAACTCTGATGCCCTAAGGTGGCCTTACATTAGGTTTCTCACCCCTCTTTTCTTTCCTTCCTGCTGTGGTTTTAATTGAACATTTTATGTGATTCAGTTTTCTTTCCCCTCTTAGCATACAAATTATACTTATTTCTTAAGTTAAATGGCTGCCCTAAAGTTTTCAATGTACATTTTCAGCTAATTTAAGCCTATCTTCAATAACACAAAAATACTTCACATGTAGAACTGTTACATTAGGACAGAGCATTCCCAATCCATCCCTCCATCCCTCCATCCCTTATGACGTTATCACTCATTTTATTTACTCATATCCTAGTATTACCACATACACTGCTACTCAGTTAAATAATTATCTTTTCGATATCTTAATGAGAAAAAGAAAATATTTCATTTGTTTTTGTCAGCTTTTTACACTGCTGCTACCCAAAGACCTGATGAAAACAATTTTAGAGAAGGAAATGTTTATTTGACACTCATGGTTTCAAAGGTCTCAATCCACAGACAGCTAGCTCCATTGCTGTTGGGCCCTAAGTGAGGCAGAACACCATGATTAAAGAGTGTGGTGGAGGAAAACAGCTCAGGAAATGGCACCAGGAAGCAAAGTGACTCCAGTCGCCAGGTACAGAATATATACTCCAAAGGTATGCCCCCCAATGATCCACCTCCTCCAGCCACACCTCACAAGCCTACAGTTACCGCCCAGTTAATCCCTATCAGCAGATTAATGCATTGATTGGAGAAAAGCTGTCATAACCTCATCATTTCATCTCTAAGCCCTCTTGCATTGTCTCACACATGAGCTTTTGGGGGACACCTCACATCTAAACCATAACATTATTTTATCTTCATTTCCTCCTAGAACAGAGTTCCTCATCTATATGATTTTCCTTCTCCCTGAAAATTTGACCATTTCTGGCCAGACAGATCTCCCTCTTTTTTTTTTTTTTTTTTTTTCTTATTCTGGGAAAAATCTTTGTTTCTTCTTTACTTCTGAAGGATACTTTCATTGGATATAAAATTCTAAATTAGTAGTTTTTTCTTTTGACATTTTAAATATTTCACTCCACTCTCTGGCTTGCATGATTTCTGATGAGAAATCTTCTGTAATTTTTATCATTGTCTCTCTGCAGCTTAGACATTTTCCTCCCTCTGGAGTCTTTCAATATTTTCTCTTTTGTCTTTGATTTCCTGTGGTTTGAATATGATATGCCCGGGAATAGTTCCTTTGTTTGGAAAATTTCTGGGCCATTATTACTTCAAATATGTCTTTTGTTCTTCTTAGGGCATTTCAATTATGTGTACATTTCAGCTTTCAAAATTATCTCACAGTTCTTTATTTTCAGTTCTGTTTAATCTTCCACATTTCAGCCTGGAAAGTTTCTATAAATGTATCTTTAAGCTCCCTGTTATGGTTTAGATATGAGATGTCCCTCAAAAGCTCATTTGTGAGACAGTGCAAGGTTTAGAGGTGAAGTGATTGGGTTATAAGAGCCTTAACCCAATGAGTGAGCAGTAGCTGAAGACAGGTAGGATGTGACTGGTGAAGGTAGGTCATTGGGGGCATGCCTTTGAGACATGTATTTTGTCCCTAGTGAAGTCAGTCTCTCTCTCTCTCTCTCTCTCTCTCTCTCTCTCTCTCTCTCTCTC